GTGCGTTTCCTCCTTCGACAGTTAAGGGTAGGCAATGCATCTGCAATTGCAGCAGTCGCTTCGCCATTTCGGCGGATTCGGGTGGCCACTTGCTCGTTTGCCACCTTATCATATAAAAAAATTAAACCTCACGTTTGAACCCTTAAATGCGTGATGCAATAACAACAGTCTTTTCATCCTTACACAGTGGACTATTTTGAAAAAGCTTTTTTTTTCTTTTGCCCCTTAATCTATGTTTTACTACCAGTTTCAATTTATGGTATTTAAAAAGAAACAATCGTGTATTTAAGGGTTAAGGTTAAGGGACTGTCACACATTTCTTGTAAATTGTCAGATAACAATCCAACATATAAATATGTGATGCATCGGATTTTGGTATTCTATCTGACAGAAACGTCTACATTAAAAAACTAAATTCGCACGGGAACCGTAACTATTCCCGGGATAAAAAGTAGCCTATGTGTTCTTCCAGACTATGCTCTAAACCTGTGCCAAATTTCATGGAGATCCGTTCAGGAATTTAATACAATCTCGTAGGGATGCATTGCTAAGTTAAATCAAGTATGAATCTTTTCGATATCAGTCTTTACCTCTCATAGAAGTTCGGATTTACCTTCATAAATATTAAATTCGATACTTAACATGTATAACTTATGAAACCAATCAATCTGAAAAGATAAATTAATTATTACCACATAAAGATATAAAAAACTCACGTTTTCAGGTTTAGTGAGCGCTTTCTTTAAGAGCTCGTTGTAGTCCTTAAATATGCCTTCGAATATTGACAGCATACCGCGGAGTTTGCCTCTACAAACAATGAAGCGAAATTGAAATAAAATCATTATTTAAAGAAAATCACTTTTGTCTTTGTCAGACATTTATAAAATTGTATAAACTAGACATAGTGAACAAACTAATTTAAGTCCCTTTCTCTTTACCACCCTTTTCTTATGAGGAGAGGTTGGGAAGAGGAAGTGGATTTGACGGTAGAGGAGATGCATAGGAAGGGGAAATATCCTCTTTATGTGCGTCTCCTCCTCCGTCGGATAAGGGTAGGCAACGCATCTGCAATTGCGGATGTCTATGGGCAGCGGTCGCTTCGCCATTTTGGCGGATTCAGGTGGCCGCTTGCTCGTTTGCCACCTTATGTTATAAAAAAAAACCTATCATGATAAATGTCTGAAATGAAGTGTCAACTATGCTTCCTGTATATATATTTTGAATCTCTTTGCGGAATGTACTTACATATTATTAAGTGCGTAACTATGTTGCCTTTCTAGTTGTTGTTTAACATCAGCGAGGCCGGACTTGAATCTATCGACTGTTCCGCGCTCCAACTTAAAATCGTACAAACTCGCTACTGTACCTAATGTTTGTACTAAACTGTCGGACAACCTACAATAAAAATAACATATTAAAATGCTTTTTCATGAAACTAGCAACATAACAACTACACACTTGAGTTCGCAATTGTACAGTCGGCTACATAAATCTGTATAAATTTACAAAAGTGTTACATTTACATGGAAAAAAATATATTTGCACAAATTAATAGCATGCATTTATAAAAGAATGCAAACAAATTTTTGAAACCAAAGCCTTATACATTACTTGTAAGTACACATTTATGTAGCTGACTGTACATATAACGTGAATTTGTATATTAAGAGCAATATTTTTAAGATCATAACAAAAATATAAGGTGGGATTTCCTTTAGTATCACCAATATATTACTCGTCTGTTATAATAAATATTAATTTGAACTAAATAAACATCATTTTTACATACATAAATATTTTATATTAATATTAACCAAGTAAAATTTATAATTCAACAAACACCGGAGTTAAAAACAATTTATGTTCAATATATTCGTAAAATTTTATGTTTTTTTTTATTTATTTATTTATAAGTAGCTTAATTTTAATACAATAATATAAAATTTCGCCAAACTGCCAAAGCAGTTTGTTGGCGAAAACTGCACCCATAAACTAAATACTTTTAATACATGAACTTATTTCTATAAACAAAACAAATCATTACTTTTACTAATACCTAAACTACGACATGAAAAATAAATTAAAACTCTCCTAGTTAGAACTACCAACTTAATTATTCAGCCGCGTAGATATTTAGTAACTGTGTTTTAAATTTTACTGAACTGTAATATATGTGAACTGTAATATTGTGTTTTTGTATTAAATTGAATAGATATATTTATATGCATTAACATTTGAATAACTCACCCAGTAGTGAGTGCGTTGACAAAGTCCGCTAAGTGTTTGAGAGTTCTGTCATACAACTTCACATTGGAGGTGAAGGAGGCGAACTCCGAACTACCCTCGGACTCCGAGCTGAGGGAGAGCCGCACTGGCTGGAACATCTGCAGTACCGTACGGTACATCTATTATCTATACTATTATAATAAAGCGTAAACACACACTTCTTTGTTGCCTAAGATGTCAGCAATTACAGCATGATTTTAAATAATTCTTTTTTTTAATGAAAAGCCCTACACTTGCGTCAGGCTATAGGCATGTTTACGCCATTAAAATTACGGGGTAAATATTTTGGATAAAAACCCTAATGTGGGAAAGAGACCATAAGTTGCTGGCAACATCAAGAAAGCAAGGTTGTCATCATGTCATGTCATTTTCACATTTGCTATTGATAACTTGACAAATGTAAACAACAAAATAAAAATTTGATAATTTCATGCGGAAGAATTCGCACGGGAACAGCTAGTTAAGCATAAACTGCTTAACAAATCTCGATGAAAACATACTAATCATACTAATATTATAAATGCGAAAGTAGAGATGGATGTTTGTTAGTTTGTAGCCTAAACTGCTGAACGGATTTCGTTGAAATTTGTATATATGTAGAGGATAGTCTGGAAGAACACATAGGCTACTCACTTTTGTTTTTTTAAATTCCACGCGGAGTCGCGGGCAAAAGCTAGTATTTTATAGTTATATTAAATACTTACGGTAGTCTGCGCTTCTTTCAGTCTGGTGGAGAGCTCTTGTATCTGCTCCTTGTACATCCTCACTGTATCCGATACTGACGACTTGTGCTGAGTGAACTCTAACTGTAAATAAATAAATAAATAAATAAAATAAATAAATAAATAAAAATAAAACAGACTTTAACTCAGATTGCAAAGTTATTGAACGTGTTTTTTTTATACATTTAAATTACGACTATATTACCTTACTTTCTACATTTATTACTCTATGATTTAATTCTTGTTTAATCTTTGTACATCTGTTTGTTCTAACTATATATAGATTAAAATTATTAATAAGTCTGTTCATAATACATTAAAAAATTCGACATATCTGTTTAAAGATAAAAACACTAACATAGTTAAGAAAAATCTAATTTAAAAATAGCATTTTTTACTTCACGATTCAATTTTTTTTTTAAATAAGTACACGATATACCGATAAAAACTCCATTCATTAATAATTTGACATTAATAATGACCAAATTTAAATTTAACCAAAAAAACCTTTAACAATAATTTGATAATGGCGCTAGTATCGCTAAATGGCGCTAGTGTGCAAAACCAGACGTACCTTAATATTTTCTAGATCTAAAATCTTAATCTGTGCAACTTTCAGTTCACTTTGCAAGTTAGATATTTTGCTTTCCAACTGTTGTATGACTTTGTCTCGGGCTGCGATATCTTCTGAAGATTCTTTGGCCTAAAAAAAAAACATATCGACGAATTGAGTACCTCCTTCTTTTGGGAAGTCGGTCAAAAACATATTGAGATGTAAAAGCAACGAACATATATACATACATATATATATATACATACATACAAAAAGAATCACATAAAGACACATATATGGCATATCACTAGAATAGATACTACATAGAATAAAACAAAGTCGATTCTCGCTGTCTGTCTGTCCCTATGCTTAGATTTTTAAAACTACGCAAGGGATTCTGGTGCAATCTATACTATTATAATAAAGCGTAAACACACACTTCTTTGTTGCCAAGATGTCAGCAATTACAACATATTTTTGAATAATCCTTTTTTTAATAAAAAGCCCTAAATTTACATCACGCTTTAGGCTATATATTTTCACGCTATTTTCACGCTAAACGTAGAGGGTAAAATTTTGAATAAAATTCCTAATGTGGGAAAGAGACCATGAGTTACTGCCAACATTAAAAAAGTAAGATTGCCAAGGTTTGTCATGTCGTGTTATTTTGACATTTGCTATTGATGTTTTGACAAATGTAAACAATAAAAATCATAATTACATTCGGATGAAGCCGCACGAGAACAGCTAGTTTTAATAGAGTGATTAAATACTGATAACTTTTCAGCTTTCTAATATGATGTAAACACAATTTTGTATCAGTATTTTACCCATGCGAAGCCGGGGTGAATCGCTACTTCGTTATATACCTAATAAAGTTTATTAGGGCCAATAAAGAAAGCCTTCTCTCCCGTAATTTTTAGTTATTATGATATACTTTACTTAGAAAGTATTACATGTTAAAGAGCTTTGGCATTGTTTGTTTAAACATCGAAATCCCCTCCACCCCCCAGTCATGGTAAATAGTACTTACGTCACTAACAGATTTAAGCTGTCTCTGTAAATCCTGTATAATAAAATGTAATTTTTTAATTTCTTGTGCGTGATCACTTTCTGTCGTAGATGTTTGCAACTGGAAATAAGTTACACAATTTTTAATCTAGATGGCGTTGTAACAAAAAGTTATTTTTTTAATGTTATTGTTACGATTCTCAATGAAAATGTATTTTTTAAATTTTTAATTGACTTGAAATCGTTGAAATTACATTGAAATGTTCCAAAATAATAATTAAAAACAAATATAATCAAGGTAATGAAGGTACAATAAACTGGTTATCATTTTTATTACCATTGGAGTCAAACTCGTTTGTATTATCAAGAGAAATTATAATTGCATATTTCGCGATACATTTTAAACTTTTTAAAATGATTTTAAAGTAAACAATATTTAAAACGTTTTTAAAAATAGTTTAAATAAAACTTGTTTTTAAAAAAAAAATCACCAGAATCATTACATACCTCAAGATTTTTCAATTTCTCTTTAAGTTCATCTCTTTCTTTGGAAGTAGCATCCACTATGTGCTCTAGAGATTCCTTTTGCCAGGTTAATTTTTCATTTTCAACTATAACCTAAAAAATATTCACACATAAATAAATTATATTAAACATCTTCAATTAATTTTCAATTTAAACGTTTAAACAAACAGAAAACGTGTCCCTTCTTTTACTAACTTCAAAAAAACAAATATAATATCTTACTAATATTATATATGCGAAAGTTTAGATGGATGGATAAATGGATGGATGTTTGTTAGAATTTGTAGCCTAAACGGCTGAACGGATCTTGATGAAATTTGGTATAGATGTAGAAGATACTCTGGAGGACCTCATAGGCTACTCACTTTTATTTTTTTTAATTCCACGCGGATGGAGTTGGGCAACTGCTAGTTATTACATTAATAGTCCGATTTGACGTAACACAAAAATTAATTTAAAAAAACTCACCTGTCGTCTTTGCTTCTCAACAAGTTCCAATTGTGATGTTAGCTTGTCTATGGTGTCGTCGTCAGGTGACGTCACAAACTCCACCCCTGAAGACGCCCCCGAGCGCAAAGACCGCGGCTGCGACCCGCCCCCCGTGCCCCCGGACAAACGCATAGCGTCTGCCTTTAATATCTTATTTTCTTCACGTAACTGGAATACAGTTAACTTATTCGTTAGTTTACATAACGATACTAAATTTTAAAGTCTAGGTTAACCTAAGTAAATGCAACTATAATACTGTCTAAAAAAAATGGATAAACATTATAGTACAGTCAGCTGCATAAACATGTATCAGTTACAAAGACTTTAGAATATCGTATAGGCCTACTGGTCATATTCATGGTCAGAAGCATACGAAAGATACATAAGTACATATTTTTAAAATTTGTAAATGTATACATTGGTTATGAATTTGACTGAACAACACAATGTCTAGAAATATAGGAAGAAGATACTGCGAAAAAGACATTTACATGTGGATTATAAAAGACTGCGTCAAGATTTCGTCAACTTTATTACATTTTTTTTACATCATAAAGTGGCAAACAAGCAAGTGACCACCTGCGACCGCCAAAATGTCGAAACGACCACTGCCCATAAACTATAATTGCAGATGCATTGGGTACCTTTAATCGACGAAGAAGACGTACATAAAGGGGAAATTTCCCTTTCCTATGAGTCTCCTCCGCTCAAATCCATTCACATACATACTAACCTTTTTAACTAAATTCTTAGTTTCATCAAATTTCTCTCTATGTATCTTGTGTGTGTTCAACATATCGTCCTGACAGGAGGATATTAAACCCAGCTGTTCCTTCAGGGACTCATTGTTCTGCTTCAGAGTCTCCTTGAGGACCAGGTTCTCGTCTAGAAGTTCACCGAACCGCTTCTGTAGCTCCTCCGTACTTCTGTCTTCTGTTACTATCGTGCTGGCGATCATCATACTACCCGGAGATGGCTGCCAAACAAATGATAGTTTAGATCTACAAGACCGTTCGCACTGCCGAAACATAACTCGATGATATAACCTATAAATCTCACGAGTTATGATTTATACATATAGTTTCACTCTGTTATTTTACTAAGATAAAATCATCATTTAAAATTTGAATACATACATACAAAAATGCTATTTCCACGCTGTTGAGGATCGAACGTATCGTAGTTTTAAGATTAAATTACCAAGTAAATGGCAAAGGAATTCCTACACGATATACTAGTATGTGTTACAAGAAGTAGAAAACAACTACCGCTGTTAAATGTCTAGGGTTGTCACATCTACAACAAATCATACTAATATTATAAATGCGAAAGTTTGGATGGATGGATATTTGTTTGTTACAGTTTGTAGCCTAAACGGCTGAACGGATTTCGATGAAATTTTGTATAGATATAGAGGACAGTCTGGAAGAACACATAGGCTACTCACTCTTGTTTTTTTTTGAATCCACGTGGACCGAGCCGCAGGCAAAAGCTAGTAGGCGATAAATTGAAAATCATTTATACAATTACAATCCATTCTAACTATCTTGCTAAATTAAGAATTAACTAAGAAATAAAAGTATTGTATAAAAATATTTTATATCCTTCAGCTAAAATTATATAGCAGTCAATTTTGTTAAAGGTCTGTAGTCAAATATATTTAATTTCAATTCAAATTTAACAATACGAACGGTTAAATGTAGTAACGGTATACGCAAAAATTTATAAGTGAAATTATAAAACAAATATAATTATATTTATTTTAAAGGGTTTATTGGCAACCCTATATTTACCGTAGCCGCGGGAACTTACCGCTTTAATACCTAAAAGCTGACAGAGACATTACTGTTTACAATTTAGTTAATGACACGTCATCAACTGTATTTCTTTGAAGGTGACAATGGTTAATATTTCCTATAATAATAAGCAAGACAACATATATTATTATTTAAAAAAACATTGACTGTAACAGAAATAAGACCCTTTTTCCACTAGCGCTACAAACGTTTATATCCGTGATTTATATTGAGCAATGATGACCATTTCAAAGGCACCTACTGCCATCACAACTGCTGCATAGAACCTGCATAGCGCAGTAATGGACATTAATATGTATTATAGGAAAATGGACTTTAATATAATCGTAATGAATCATCTTTTTTAATAGCACAACGTCTCCAAGACTAATCTAAAAACTTTACTATTAACGCAAACGAAGACGACACAGGAAATTATTATTTTCGAATACCATTATACTGTAAGAAATTTCATTCTGGTAGAATAAAACATACTACGCCCTTGAAATGTTTATCGCAATCTAATTCATAACACCCTTGACATAGAACACATGTTACGAAAGAAGGAAATGACTTCTGTTACGCGGTAAATTCCCTGCGCCGTGTAAAATCACAGCTGTTCTAATCTGAAATTACTATCAGTTGGACAACAATTGAATTACAAATGGAAAGACAATGTGAACGATAGATCTGATAGGTCCACACTTAGTTACACTTGACCACTATGTCGACCATTGGTCCAAATTTCACAATTCAAAATTAAAAAAACAGCTTTTAATCTGCACATTAACTACAACTGTCAAATTTCATGTTCATTAGCAAAATTTGCTTAAAAAGGGCACAAAGTTTTCGCTTTACATAAAAAATGATTGTCACATATCTGTTATCTACACTAAAATTATAAAGAGGAAAGGTTTGTATTTTTGTATGTATTAATATAACTCAAAAACTACTTGGCCGCTATCAAAAATTCTTTCATTGTTAGAAAGGTTATTTATCTGTGAGTAACATAGGCTATATTTTGTATCTTCACACGGGCGAAGTCGCGACTAAAAGTTAGTTACAAATAATAACAATTGTGTAGATTTATAACACCAAAGAACAGGATGAAAAATGTTTTCAAAGTGCTTTAACACTGGATATTACAGTGAAAAACATCTAATATATAAACATCCCATATGTAAATATAATATACATAAATATACACATTTTATTGATTCATAAGAGATTTTTGATGCGTCACATGTCAACATTAAACTTATCATATGTATATTTTGTTTAAACATAGATAAGAAATATATTTTATTATTATTTGCCCTAAATCTATGGTAGTATATTATTAAAAGGATATACTTTAAGACTTTTAAGGGATTTTTAAAAGCAATAATGTTTACAATATTCTTCAACCCTATTTGTGACATAATGTAGATATCCAAAGTGCATTTTATTAACATTCTTCATGACTATAAGAAATTAGCTCAAATAATGACATTTACAAAATGTTTTCTATTTTGAATAATAATCATAAATACACATATAATTTAATTTCAGACTCCTACAGTCGCTTTGCAAATTGATCTGCTATCAAAAGTATTTCCTAAAAAAAAAATTAAGGGTTGCCTCAAGTGTGTATTACTTTTTCTTCTGCTGACGAATCTAGTTTCTTTGCCCCACTTTTTGCCCTCTTATTTAAAGAAAATAATACTTACAGTGTCACCAATGTGAAAATATGCCTTAAAAGCCATTGAAGCTTCGGGAGGAATATCTTTCAATGCATCTTCAATCTGCTCCTTGTCAAGTGTGTCTCCATTTTCCACGCCATTGCACCTTAGGTCCAGACTAGTACCTGGTGACGTACCCAGGATGATGAAAGAGTCCTCATCATTGTTTGCCAAGTTCACATTGGTTGACATTTTTTAACATGTATACTGGAAGAGAGAAAATCATTCTCTTATTTCATAATAAATAAGCAAAATACATGAGAGTTAAAAACAATTTCGTAACAAAAATTCAAATAAGATTATAAGCAAGTTGGTATATACTAAACCAGATAAACTATTTCCTAATAAAACTAAAAATAAATCGCAAAATTTTACCCAATGATGAATACGGTATTCCACGTTTGGTGTTATTGCAGCAAGTGCCACTTTACTTCCCGTCAAATGCAAGCAATTCGATAAACAAACGACATAAAGGTGTTATCAACAAAATTGTTCGGAGGAAAGCAAAAAAATTACATTCCTTTCCACCCTCTATTTTTTTGCAAATACTTAATTGACATTGACAGATGACAGCTTTTGGTAATAATGACATTTGACACTAGACGTTTTCTTATGTTCCTTTCCATGCGAATAATCATTTTTTGCAAAAAGCTTAATTGACTCGAAAAACGAATGCTTACTTTGATAACGTCAGTCTAGAAAAAAGTAACAATGTTTATTCTAACAATGTTTATTGGATAAAATCTAACCCAGTTTTTAATCCAAAGGCTTTAAAATA